ATGACACTGAAAGTCGGAGCCGGGGCTTGAACCGTCACTCCTTCAATTTCAGGGCAAACTCCTACATCCGACGCCACTGTCGATGATGATTTTAGATGTCAGAAATGAATGCCTCATCTTTGTCAGGCATAGAAAAAATTCAAAGGAATAAAAAATGACCAATCAAGGTTGTGAAAAGGATTTGACAACAAAAGCACGTAAAGCACGATGGTTCTATTTAGAAAACTGAAGGTTTTCTTTCAGCTGTTTTAAAGCTTCTCTTACCTCTTGGGACATTGTATTGTCAGTCTGGTTTGTTCGCTCCTTCATTCTCACATCAGCTGACCTGTTTCTTTTCTCTCTTTATTGTCTTCCTCTGCTCTTATCTACTAGATGGAGGCCAGGATGTATTAGGTGTTTTATGTTTGCTTTGCACACCTCTTTACAAAACAACCGATTCATGTAACAGCCCACTGTAAGACTGACCTTTTGTGTTCTGACCTCGGATGAGATTTCAACCCCCCCCCCCCCATAGTTGAATTATGACGTTCTTGGTCTATTTGAGATGGTATGAACGAGAGGTTTGACATTTTACAGTTTTAAGTACACAACCCCTTTCTGAGGTATGACTATTTGCTAGTTTATATTCGCATCTATATAATACCAAATATAATGTCAACAATCGGGCAAAAAAGAATACAGATTGGATCATAAACTATTAATTTGGCTAAATAACTCCTTTGGAATTGAATCACAATATATTAAACGTTCATTAAACGAACAGGCACTCCACAGGGCCGTGTACTCAGCCCCCTACTGCACACTCTGTACAGCTGTAGGTGTTGTCAGCAACCACTCTGAAACTGCTTTCATCAACTTTGTTGATGATACTACTGTGACTAGGACCATCTTTAGTGATGATTACACAGCATACAGAGACAAGGTCACAAGTGGCTTAGGAGGTGTGCCAATATCAGCATTAGCCGAAAATATGGCGAAGGTAGCTAACTTTAACCTTCTGAGTATGTACATGAATGTAGACCTCTAATGAAGCTCAAACCCCATGGCTCAGGAACGTCTCTGCTTTCGGAACATCCTAGGAAGGCTTAACCTAAGACTGGTGGTGCAAAAAGGAATCTATAGAAATAATCACTAGTTAATGGGAGAAGTTTACTCTAAGCCCCTCTCCAGATGACCGGGTTCATCACCCTATCTCTAAGAGAATGCCGTGCCACCCAGCGGAGAAAGCTAACTTCAGCAGCTTGTATATGGGATCTTGTTCTTTCAGTCATGAACGGAATTGTAGTTTAAAACCCCCCTTTGCAGCCTCTCTACTGTTACCTACCCATTACCCCATCCACACAGTGTCTTTTTGGGTAAAGAGTGACAACAATCTCAGCTTCTTCTGAATGACCGAGATTCCTTACCCTATCTCATAGGTAGTGCCTGTCCACCCTGCAGAGAAAGCTCATTCTAGACACTTTTATCATTCTGTTCCTGAATGCAGACAAAACAGAAGTTATAGTGTTTGGACCAGAGTCTCTGAAATGGAAGCTGATTAGTCAGTCACTTCATTTGGATGGGATTAAAATGAGCTCAAATAATAAAGTAAAAAACCTTGGTGTTCATTTTTATCAGGACCTTTTATTTAAAACCAATATCAAAAAACATTCTAGAATATACTTCTATCATCTCCAAAATAATGCAAAAAATAGAAATATCTTCTCCAGTGGTGATACTGGATGTGATTCTTTACTTTCAGGAAGTCTACAAACTGTTGTTAAAATTCTTCAGCTGATTCAAAATGCTGCAACCAGAGTTCTGATGAAAATTATAAAGAATATTTCTCCTATCTTATCTTCCTTTTATTGGTTTCCTGTTAAATCCAGAATAAAATTTAAAATCCTCCTTCTCACATATAAATCATCAAATGGCCAAGCTCCATCTTACATCAGAGATCTGATTGTTCCTTATGTTCCTAACAGAGCAATTCATCCTCAATCTGCAAGTCTACAAGTGGTTCCTAGAATTTCTAAAAGTAGAATGGCAGGCAGAGTTTTAAGATCGTGCTCATGTGGAACCAACTACCAGTTTTAGTCTCTGAAGCAGATACCTTGTCTACTATCAAGACTAGGCTTAAACCTTTTCTTTTTGATAAATCGTATAGTTAGAGTGGCTCAGATTTTCCTCAACTATCTCTATAGTTATGCTGCTATAGTCTTAGACTGCTGGAGGACATAGGGACCCCCATTTCATCATTCTGCTTCACTCTATCTCTATTCCCCCACTCGGCAGAATCTGTTAGTTCAATCTCTAATGTTATGTTCTCTCTGCTTTTTCTCATAGTAGCTTCATCTGGGCTGTTCCTGTTTGGCTATTTACATTTATGCTGGTATAGTCCACTTTACATCATTCTGCTTCATTCAACTCTATTCTTCCGTTCTGTAATATTTGTTCATTCAACCCATAACTTTATGTTCTCTCTGCTTTTTCTCATCATAGTAACATAATTTGATCTGTTCCTGTTTGTCTATGACAGCACCCAGGAAATAAATATCAGCTGGGCTGCTGTCATCAACACCTTTGGTTATAAGCGATAGATTTGGGACCTATTTTGTAGTGTTTAGTCTTGTTTCTCTCCCAGAAATAGCAGTGGGCTCAGCTTTTACTGTGACTAACTGTGTGTGCTCTCTTTCATGGATTTGATTTAAACTCGTCTCTGAGCTGGCCTGCTGTTTCTTTCCTAAACAGAGTCACTTTGTCTTTTTAGTTTAATAGCTGTTTGACCCACATGCAGAATCACACAAAGAACAAGTTAATTTTAATGTTTTATTTATTAAAGCAAACAAGAATCTGGAAGTGTGGACAGTAGGAAGCCAGTTATAACCTTCTGGTTGGCCTGGGGGAAGAAAGCAGACTGATTTGGAAGGAGTTGTATGATGACAACTGACGACTGATTGATTTGGCTCCCTTGAGAGATGAAGGAGAAATTCCTTGTATCTGTACGTGTTTGACTCAGTGGGCTTTGCAAATTGTACCCCAGAGGTTCATGTGAGTGTGAACAAGATCATAGAGCATTGGAAGTTGCAAGAGACGTTGCGCTGGAGATCAGGCAGGCTGTTGACAAAGGCTCTGAGAACTGCTCTACACGGGTGAGACCTTTTCTATAAAGATTGGAGACAAAATGAGGTTCACTGATTGACTGGATCAACAACAGAGTCCAAGTTAAAGAGATTCACAAGAAGACAGATTCAACAAGTATAATATTTCTTTGGTTAGCTCTTTGGCTAGAATACCATCAGGGGTAATCATCCGGTAAAGACAGATGATCCTCAGCCTCCTTATAGACATGCTAGTCATTACTGTTTCTATGTTACTTCGCATGTCTGTTTCTCTCCTCTTAAACACCAAAACAGCCTCAGGAGAAGACCTCACACACTGAGCCATGTTCTGCTGGAGTTTTCTTCTTTTCAAAAGGGAGCTTCTCCTCTCCACTGTCGCAGAAGGCATTATTGGTGTGGTGGATTGGTGTTGAGTCAATGACAAAATGCAAGCAAAGATCGACTTTCCCCAAAAGCCCATCCAGGCGGAGTGGGTCCCGCATGTTCATGACATGATGTGATTGGCTGCTTTTCCTTAGAAACATTTTACCAATCTGACTGAATGATATTGTTTTTATAAAGTTCCTTGAAATGACATGTGTTGTGAATTGGCATCATATAAATAAACTGAATTGAATTGAACACATTTTTGCATGCCTCTCCTGAAGGATTTGTTCTCTTGTCTTCCTTATTTTAATTATGTTTCTAAAACAAATGTGGCACTGAGACACTTTATCTTTATACCACAAGAAAACAATGGTATGTTTTACTAAATAAGATAAGATAAGTCCTACACTCAAGAAAAGGGAATGTTCAATACCATATACATAAACCACAGAATGTTTGAGGGGGGATGGGGGATTGGATGTCGATACTTTCTTGAAGTTTAATTGTTTTTATGTTACCTATAAATCTCCATGTATTTTATTGATGTCTGGTTGTGTTACGGAGAGTGTACTCAAATGTTTGTACTGTTCATCCTAAAATGTAAGGGCTGTACTATGTATTGTTATACTCTTCTATATACTGTGAAACATCCAACCCCTTACAAAACCTGTTTGTAGATATCCTAAAGATTAAAGTTTAACTAAATGTTAATATGTATATTAATACTTCCATTTAGTCCTTTAGTACTGCAACAATAAGAGGTTATTACTAGTTTAAAACAGTAAGAAATCATCATTGCTATACATATAAAAAATATCCATAATAATAAAAAAAGACACCAGCCCAATTTTCACATTCCAGTATTTTATTTTTATTTTTATTTACTCTTCCTGGTGTCTAGAAGAAATATGGCAACTTAAACGTTAAAAGAAAATCACAAAATAAGGAAACTTTTTCGTCTTAAAGCCATTGACAAGGTTGGAATATTTAGAGGTTTGGACAATGAATCAGTCAAGAAATGCTATAATCTCATGAGAAAAAAAGTATGTTACAAAGCAAGGACAGTAACATTTTGTGGAGGGAAAGCTTTCAGGTTGCCCAGGCTGAATGCTTTAATTAATGCTTTTAAAATAAGGTTTTCCTTATAAAGATCAGATCACAACACACAGAAGGGAGCAAATGCCCTAATTTATGCATCGGCATACAGCAAAAAAGCACTGAAAGTGTTATAGTGGCTATAGTCATCGCAGAGGAAACATCCCCTGGCCAAATTGACTGACACTTTGTCTCCAGCGTTTAGTTTCAGAGCAACAGCTATGGTTGTGCTGTCTTCTTGGTCGTTCCAGTTGAGTTCTCTGGATGCAGCCACTGCTTGGCCGTTGACCTGCAGGCTGGTGCAGACAGCCAACACATTACCGGGAGACCCAGCATCACTGAAGGAAGTCACGGCCAGGCTGTAGACCCCAGGTAGGGTGACGGTAAAGATCCCAGAGTTCATGTTGTAAGCCATTCCAAGGTTAATGAAGGAGTACTGGTAGGTGATGACGGTGTCGACACCAAACGGCCCGTAGCACTTAAAGTTGTCCCCAGGGTAGAGAGAGACAGAGAAGGCAACTCGACTATCTGGAAAAGCAAAGATTAGAATAGCATTAAAGTGGAAGAGTGATCTCTCATCACATTCAAGGTCACAGGATGTGCCCTTCACCTTTAAGAGTGGCAAAACTTTTGTTAGCCTTTTCTAACTCCATCTCGAGGTGGGTCAGAGTTGAGTCAAAGTACGTCTTCAGTCTCTTCGTCTCTGCCACCATCTTGCAGCACTCACAAGAAAGCTTGTCCACTGTGCAGGCTGAATACAAAGCACATTTAGCAAACAATCAGAGGAAGGAATGCACATTTTCTATATATGCTTTGGTTATCCAGTCACAAGTCCTCACCGTGCACCGGATCAGTGATGGAAACGTCTCGCTCTACCCCTGGAATGATAGTTGGGGGAGAGTCTCCTTTTACCGCCGGAGGTCCATTCCAGCTAAACTCAGTCATGCCAGCAGCTGCATGCAGCAGACACAGCAACACAAAAGCTGAAGGGGAAAACAAAACAGTTTCATGATGCATCATCTCTGTGGAGCTTTGTACTAGAGGATTGTCTCATTGTGTGTGAATCTCACCTTTCATCTTGGTGATATACAGGCAGCTTGTGGAGGATCAAGGATGTGAAAGACATGACTGTTTGGAAGAAAATCATGGATATATAGGGGTCCGGGAGCTCCTCCCTTACTGCCTCACATTTGTAGTTCTCCCCCTTTACCGGCGCTCCACCTTGTTTTGCTCCTCTTTAATCGGCCCCCTGTTCGTCCCTGTAACTATAACTGGGGGTGTTTTCATCACTGGGTGCTCAGAGAAACAGGAACACACCCTAAAGGTCTTTGTTATGATGCAGGCCACCTATTGTGTGAAGGTAGGTGTTGGTGCTCTAACATGAGGAGATAACAAGAGTGGTGTGAAATGTTATCACCATGTTTTACACTTAAGTGTAATTTAGTGAAACCTCAACAAAAAGTATTACTAATAGTGTGTAGAAGGATCTGCTGCTGTTTGAGCTACTGTCTGTGGTGGGATTTTATTATTTAATCAACATAAAGAAATACAGCTAAGGTCAATGTTTTATTAGAGGCAAATTCCACTGCAGTTACCGTATAGCAGCTTGAGCTTTGGTCACTGGCTCTATAAGCTCTGCACATCTAAAGGCAGACAATGTTTTGATGTGAAATATTATTCAATTTGCTTTGAATATTATTAAATTTCTCCATAACTTTCTCCCTGACCTGTCTGATGAATTCCTTGTCTCCATGATCCTGTTTGTTTACTAATTTTCTCTGATAAACCTTCACAAAACAGTAGGATTTAGGTAAACACTCATTACCAATGACTTTTAAACACAGTACACTGCAAAAAATTGAAATCTAAATAAGTCATTTGTGCTCAAATTAAGTGAATTTTTTCTTGAATTGAGGAGATAAGTGAGACACTTTGCCAATGAAACAAGACAATTTTAATTTAAAATAAGTAAAAATCAATTGCTTTGTCTTATTTCAAGTGTATATTATCTAATTATCCTGTATTAGTAGTAAAAATACTCATTCCATTGGCAGATCATCTTATTTACCTGCTCAAATTAAGGGTAAGTACAATTAATTTAGGCAATTTTTTACTTATTTCTAGATGTTTTTTGCAGTGTATTGGAATGTACTGGGTTGTGGATGAAGTGGCAGTGGATGTACTTGATGCATCAGTATCTATTGTGCTTCCCGTGGGCCATTTGCACCTCTTGATATAGTTTAATATTGGCCCTAACCTTAACATAAAGTGCAGATTCATCTCATGTTTTGCACTTCAATTTTGGTTTACTGGTTAAGATGGCAATAAAGGCTGTTCTTTAATGAGAGATATAAATGTTGTTCCCCAGCAAATGAAGAAGATCAAATTAGGGATTTTTTTCAGGTTGAAATTTTAAGTGATAAATTTATAGCTTCTTGGCTTCTTGTTCTTCTCTGGTATTTTTCATTCAATATTCATGTTTTTTTTTTTTATGTTTATCATAATATCCCATCAGGTGGGGTCAGAAATATCCAGTAAATACTACTCTGTAAAATCTTAGGCCTACAAAACACAAACCATTTAACCCCAAAATTAGGAAAGTGTGCCCTTCTCTATTTCTTAAACAAACATGTGGTAATTTTGAAATTTACCAAATATCTCAGGTAAACAGATGGCTGCCGAGGAGGCAGATTGACTCAGAGAGGCACAAATCATTGTTGAGTGAGTATAATGCTGTATTTAAAAGCTTTGCCTCATTGTATAGTTGGTTTTAAAGTCACTCTAAAATGGACAAGAATAGTGTGCAACAACTGCTTCTTCACTGTTTTTGTGCATTTATTTTCTATCCACAATCGGGAAGATACCCAAAAGAAAATAAATCTTATTTTTCCACATATGCCATCATTTACAGGGTTAAAAGCTGATTAGTTTGTTAGTGATGGACATTATTTGTCAGAAGATGATAAAACTTCTTTTTAGTCGTCCTTTTATTTTAAGCTGAATTAGGAGAAAAAACAGCATTAAGACTCTTTATATTTTCTTATATCTTCAGCAAAAGATGCATATTAGTGGCCATATTAATAATTTGTTTTTGCTCTCAAAAACTTGCTCACAATCTCAATTGTATGTTTAGAAGTTTGGTTTATTTTATTTGAACAATGAAAGCATTTCAGTGGTAACTCACAGTGTCAAAAACAACAGCCAAGAAACCTCAGCTACACATATCAGCTATTTTATTTTTCCCTTCAGGTAACATGATGCTAGCAGTTTATGCGCACAGAAGAAAACAAAGTGTAGCATGAAACTCAGAACAAATCAAAAGGCTGAGCTCAATGCTTTCAGACTGAACAGGGTTCAAGGCAGCACCGGCTACGCTTTTGCAGCAGCATACAGCAGGAAGCCGGTGAAGGTGTTGTAGTGGTTGTAGTCGTCGCAGATGTTGCATCCTTTCTGCAGGACTACAGACACCTTGTCGCCGGCCTTCAGGTGCCTGGCGATCACCACGGTGCTGCTGTCCTCGCTGTCCGCTCCGTTCTTATCGACGAGGGGAGCCACGTCCACGCCGTTCACCTGCAGCAGGGCGCAGGTGACCTGGGGCAGGTTGACAGCAGAACGGCTGTAGACGGTGACAGCCAGGCTGTAGACACCAGAGAGGGGGACGGTGAAGATGCCTGTCTGGATGCTGTAGCTGTCTCCCAGGTTGAGGAAGACATGCTTATAGGGGACCGGTCTGTCATCGCTGAAGGGGCCAAAGCAGGTCAAGCTTCTCTCATTGTTCAGGGCGACAGAGAAAGCGCTGCGGTTCTCTAAAGACCCAGATAGATGAAAATGATCTGTTAATGGGTTTCAGTAGTCTGCATGTTCTGCAAGGTGTTCTGCTTGCTGACAACACTCACTCTTGATACGGTCGAGGTTCATCTTAGTGGTCATCAGCTGCTGGCTAAGTTCTTTGACTGTCATGTTAAAGAACTCCTCCATCCTCATCATCTGTGTCTGCATCAGACAGCAGCCGCACGCCGCCTGGTCATTGCTGCACACTGGACAGACACACAGAAAAATATTAGTTCTGCAAGTGAAAGTCAGCATAGACTATTTCCAAAGGTAAAGGTAACACACTTATTTCATTTATGTCTAGGCTGCGGTCTGAAAGCGGTGTTGAGGCGATGGGTCCATTCCAGTCATATTGACCAAAAACCGCATGCAGCACAAACAGCAGAACAAACGCTGGAACAAAACAAAAAATTACATTAATCAGGAAATTTTGATACAAATACTTTGGCAACTCTGAACTGACTTTAATGATCTTAATAAAACTTTAATAAACCTCATCAAACTGACAATTTTTCCCAGTATAAATGCTCAGATGAAAGTTAATCTCCTTATTTATCTTCCAGCCACAGTAATTTACAATCAGAAAATCTTAAACAAGACTGTGTATCTCTCAGTAAGAAAGTCTCACCTCTCATATTGGCAGGTGATAGCGAACCGTCCGAAGAAAGGAAAAAATGTTTCTCTACAGGGCAGGAGCAGAGAATATATATTTGTGGTAAAGCTCCTCCTTCCTTTACCTCCTAACTTTGCTCCTCCTCGTACTTTTATAGGATAGATTTCTTCACCCCTGCAGGCTTCATCCCCGATTTTGGCTCATAGTTTCTCACCTGTGTTGCTCAGGTGTTATCTGTCACCAGTAAGAGGTAAAAGAAAAACCTTTGTTGCACTCACTGAGCTGCAGTTTGTCCGACCTGACTTCCTAGTCTGGGTTTTTAAAAACAAATTTGGATTAAAATTGCACAATTACCCTATTAGTTCAAAAGTCTACATATTTCATAATGGCCATATCAACTTAATAAACTTATTATGATGCTAAATCATACGTTTTTAAGCTCAACCGGCCCACCTTAATTTTAAAATAACAGCAAAAAGCTTATGAGTGTTTAAAGCTGTACGGAAGTCATATTAAAATTTCAAATCATTCTGGCTTAAACATGTATATAAATGTACTCTTTAACAGACCATATTGTCACAAAAGTTAGAAAATTCCTATTTGAAAAAAAAATCTGTCTTAAATTCTGTCTTAAAAAAGTGTTTTTTTTTTTATTTAATTTTATGCCGGCCAGATAGTTATACGTCAGCCTGAACACCTAAATTCGGCCAATTATATATCAACGGTCATCTGTCAATCAATTTTTTTGGGTCATAGCATATTGATTCATATGTTGTAGCTAATTTACGCAACGGATGAAATAAGAATAATTAACTCTACCACTGAGTTCCATCCCAGTGTTCACGGGGATGGACGTCTGTGTCTTCAGCAGGCGTAGAGCTAACAGAACTGGCAGCGTTGCGAGGCAAGGGCTCAAACATGTACGGCTGTAAGCCTTCTACACCAAACCAAGTTTCAACTTTGTCCACGCTTTCCTCCTATAAATAAAAAATGTATGACGGAGGAAACTCATCCACGACCTCCGACTCAAAACTCTCGTCCTCTCGCATGTTTCCGCTGTCCATAGCGTTCCTTGGCAGTGCCGTTGCTAAGTGCTTCATGGTCCCATTGGGAAATCTTCCAAGACACCGGTCACAACTAAAATTGCTTGCAAACATTTTTGCCACAACAATTCCGTCCCCTTGATAATCGACCAATCATATTCACTTTATTCACATGTTAAGTCAGGCACCACTCGGGAGAATTCGTGACAGCTGCTTCCCTTCGACTTTAAACTGATCCTAAATTCCCTCATACATGAACACTAGTGTCCAGAACACATAAATTTTCACTCAGAAGGACCTCTGGTCAAAAATCGAACGATAAACAGAATATATTCAGCATCTCAGAAGAATTTTTATGTTTTCTGCAGGACACTTGTGCAATCCCAAGACACAATATTTGTGCAGATGGACATTGATTGGTTGAAATGGCAAACATTCAAAGAAGTTTAGCTGAGCCCTTACAACCCAGGAAAAAGACAAAAGATAAACACTGTACCAATGATCAACTATAGTGGAGGTAGCATCATGCTGAGGGAGTTTCTCTCATAGGGGTTTTTTGTGTATTAAAAAAAGTGAAGGAAATAAAATGACTTGTTCTTATGCAGCACTTTATAAAGTCTGAGGACCCAAAAGTGATTTACTCTACATTCATTCATTTACATGCCATTGGCACCACCGAGGGGTGGCCACGGCCACCCTGTGAAATGCCCTGGCTACCTTACTTGCCAGTGTAAAGTGTAGTAGCATCAGTTTAGCATTTCATCCCATTATGCACAGCCAGTGACATTAAAAATCACACAATAATCCAAGATATGAGTAGGTGTTTTCTATGTCTTTATGATTTCTACAGGAAGGTTTACCCACTTAGTAGATTTAAAACTCTGGAATTATTGAATGATGGCTTTTAGTTTCTGCGTGCCATCCCAAGATTTTTGGTGGCACCATCTGGCAACCCCTATAAAACATTTCTGGAGGAAAGCTCCTTTTTAGCCACAACTGCCTGGGGCACACTGATAGAGAGGCTGCTCCACCAGGGCCTCTGACCACCCACAGCTAGCAAGGTGGTGAAGTTTCTTAGCCAGGATACAAGAGAACGATGGAGTAGGGGCTCGAGACTGCAACATAACAGTTCCAGTAAGAGGCCTTACATCCTCAGGTTATAATCCGATAGACACAAACTGGAATGGAGAAACCAGACAAGCTTTCTTCTTTTGTTATGGATTCCACCCTCTGCCCCAGGTTGACGAGAACACACACAAGAAAAATGCATGGCATTATTCTGAAACCTGCTAAAGGATTCACAATGCTTTTCAACTAATACTTCATTTTAGAGCATTTGTTGGATATTTAAATCTACAACTGTGCCGTTTCATCATTTAGCTCTAGAAAAAGGATGGTGTAAAATACACAAGAGTCGAAGTTTGGCAATTACAACCCCTTGTGGTTAGATGGGGCTCATTAATGGTGTATGAAAATACTGACTGGCCAAAAGAAAAAAAAAAAAACACAGTGATTTATTGCAAAAATAAATCAATCTCCAATTAATTTTTTGCACCTTATCTTGAGAAATTTTTTTTGTCACTTGTAGTTGACTGAGGCAAAGATTTTGTTGCAAAAAAAAAGAAACTCCTTTCCAACAGGAAACTGTTTAAAACACCTTAAAAAAAAACCTGGGGCAAAGGTCAGGATGCAGGCCAGGCATCACTAGAATTAGGACCAATCAGATGCTGTAATATTTTTTTCCCCAAGCATTTCTTTGGTACCATTCATATACAATAACAAAAAATAATTCAAACACCTGAGAAAAATATGAAATTAATCGGTGGTTACCATGACAACATGTGTCGAAGAAGTAAACTATGATTATTTTTAATCTGAACAAAAATTGATCAAATTCGGACAAAGAATAAACAGTTTTCAATTAATGGCAAAAAGGTTTCAAATTAGATGTTTTTATTTTAATCGTTTCAGTACAGCTTTAAAAACACAATATGATACATGAACAACATTTAAGAAAAAACATATCAAACCAGACAGGAAGGGTTTTATCAAGAAAGGACCACTCTATTAAAGCCATGAACTCAGTCCAGTGAACAAATAGTCAGAGTTTCCCCGACGCCTCCCCACAGTCTGAACCCTGCGAAGAGCGGCCCGGTGAACTGCGTCACATAGTGATGGATAAGATGAGCATTGTTGCCGATGATGCCGTAGAAGTTTAGGATCCCTGCATGCTGGTCCAGATAGATGCCGATCCGATGAGCTTTAGGAGAGCCCAGAAGTTTTTCCTGGTTATTGTGCCAGAAGGAGAAGCCGGTCCCAGACCAGTACAGGCTCCAGGACTGGGCGTTGTGACCCAGACGACTTCTGTGGTCAGAGCCTTTACGCTCCATCTCCTTGTAAGCGACACCAATGGTGATCTGCATGGTGGCATAGAGAGAAAAACATGAGAAAACAGAAAAAAATTTGACTCTCTCCCGAGTGGAGAGCCAAATCTATTTGGGCGATATGGCTCTCCACTCGGAAGAAGAAGATGGAGGGAAGAGAAAAAATAAAATCTACTAATTGTGCCTCAGATACTATTAGTTTTCTTGCATTATTTCAAAGGGAAGTTGAAATAATGCAACACACACACACATACACACACATTTGTTCTGCTATATAAAGTGAAGACCATGTGTTGACTCATTGATTTTCAGTCATTTTCAACCCTTTCTATGCAATAACCTTAAAATTAACCCTAACCCTACTGACACCTCAGCCCTAAACCTAACCATTAGTAAAACACTTTGTGAGGACCAGCAAAATATCCTCACTTTAAAACAACTGGTCCTCATTAGGGGTGTGCAAAATAATCGTCATGATGATGCATCGTGATTCTAATTTTCGT